TTTTTTTTATACATGTTGTATAAACTAAGAATAAAGATTTCATTCAGTTTACGCAAAAATAGCAAACGAGCTAAATTTAATATCCTTTGTGACCTTTAGTGAATTGACATGATTAATGTATAATCTGCAGAAATTCTTTATTATTCCTTCCATCCTTCCTTCCTTCCTTCCTTCTTTCCTTCCTTCCTTTTTTTCTCTTTTTTTCTTTCTTTCTTATTTCTTTCTACCTTAAGAATATACACATCAATACACACATGATCTCTAATACTCGCTTTATACATGTTATCGAACTAGACTTGCGTGTGTCAAAATGACAATATCAGACCAACGCCAGATTCCTTTCGTCCAAGACCAGCCAGCAGCCCAGTCCACCRTCCCCCTTCAAGATCAGCTCCTGATCGGCATCCCTCATCCGCTTATCCTCCAGAAATACGACCCAGTGCATCTCGGGATCCCATTGATCGGTCACGTGCTCCTCACKCAAGCGTGTTGCCTGGTCAACCGAGAACTACCACAGCTGCTGTCTGCAAAGATGGTTAGTTTGTTTGTTTATACATWTCTTTATAACAGGCTGTTTGCTCGTTAATGTAATCACTAAACAATAGACCTTTCCAGAATTCGCTTTGACTAGTGACCATGAAATAAGAATTGTTCCAAGCCGAGGTTGGACTTGATAAAAATATAGTAAATTTACGGTGGCCCAGAGGATGCAATACAAGAATACAAATTCAAATACACAAATACGAATTCTAATAATATACATTTAAAAAAATTCCTAAATTCTGATTGGCTGACTGACAGCAGTGCAGTTCAAATGAAACACCAGTGCAAAAATATGAAATACCAGTGCAGATTTCAATTTTTTAGGATTCTGATTGGCTAAAAAAACAATAGAATTTGAATTAGCCAATCAGATTATAGCAGTTACCATAGCAACAGAACAGCCTTCCCTCCCAGGAAGTTCTCAGAAAATYCAAGATGGCGGATTTTCATCTTWAAAATGGATTCAAAATTGCTAAAAAAGTCAAGCTTCATCAGCTGAAAACCAGCAAAAAGGTTGAGAATGGCAAAAGGAGGACTCGCTGCTTGTTATTTGAGAAT